AACAAACAACAACATATGGCATAAATAGACTAACAAGCATAACCCAAAAAGTAGAAACAACAGAAGAGAAACTGGATGAATGGGACCTTCTAAACATTAAATTTTTACGTACTTCCAAAGACTTCTCCAAAAGAGTCAAAAGAGAACCTACAGATTGGGAAAGAATATTCAACAATGACATACCTGACAAGGGACTAATCTGTTGAATTTATAGAAAACCCAACACCTCAATAATAAAAAGACAAATAATATAATTTAAAAATGGGCAGAAGATATGAATAGACACTTCACCAAGGAGGATATTCAGGTGGCCATAAAACATGTGAAGAAATGCTCATGATCATTAGCCTTTAGAGAGATGAAAATCAGAACAACAATGAGATACCATCTTGCCCCAGCACTAGTAGCAAAATTCAACAAGACAGAAAATAACAAATGCTGGTGAGGATGTGGAGAGATTGGGAATCTCATACACTGCTGGTGGTGGGACTGTAAAATGGTACAGCCACTGTGGACAGCAGTATGTTGACTCCTTCAAATGTTGGAATGAGAAATACCATTTGACCCAGCCATTCCACTGCTAGGTATATATCCTAAAGAGGTGAGAGACATGACAAGAACAGACATATGCACACCCATGTTCATCACAGTGCTATTTACAATAGCCAAAGATGGAAACAACCTAGGTGCCCATCAGCTGAGGAATGGATAACCAAGCTATGATACATAACCACAATGGAATATTATGGAACCATAAAGAATAACATAGAATCTGCAAAACACTGCATACCATGGATGAACTTGGAGAACATTATGCTGAGTGAAGTAATTCAATCACAGAAAGACAAATATTGTATTAGTCCGTTATCATAAAAGTCAAAGAAATGTTTATATATGGAAGGATATTTTCTTTGTTTATTACCAGTAGTGGAAAAAGAGGGGAGGGAACACCATTAGACAAGTAGAGATATGTATTGATCTGGGTGAAGAGAAGGGCAAAAAAAAAAAAAAAAAAGGCACTTTGGGCTATATTGAGGGAGAATTGTTACAAAGCCATTGTTGTTGCCATCCAGTCTTTCAGAAACAAATTTATTGATTAACATTCACTGAGTGCTTACTAAGTGCTAAACTCTTTGGACTTTAATTATCATCGGGTTTATATTGTCAAGATTTGTGCTAGGGTATGAGCAATCCAATTTGCCTGTTCACCTTAAATATCCGTATAGATTGGTGTGGGTTTGGCATTGGCAGTGGTTTGTTAGACAGCATAATGAATGTATTGGCCATATTGTGTCACCCATAGATTGACCCACAGCCCCATGCATAATCAATTTGACCTGATAAAAATCAGACAAAACACTGAGCAGTGTTTTCTTGGTTCAGTCATTTCAATCTGCAGTCATTTATACAACAAACATTAATTTTGTGTGTATGTAATATGTGCTTGCTGTTGTTAGATGGTGTCAAGTCAGCTCCAACTCATGGTGAGCCTATGCACAACCGAGTGAAACACTGCCCTGTCACACACCATCACAATCCTTGCTATATCTGAGCCCATGATTTCAGCCACTATGTCATTCCATCTCAATGAAGGCCTCTCCCTTTTTTGAGGAGTTTCCTTTTCTTTATGTTGAGGTGTAAGTCATACTGCAGACTATATTCTTTAACATTCATCAGTAAGTGCTTCAAGTCATCTTAATTTTCAACAAGCAAGGTTGTGTCCTCTACATATCACAGGTTGTTAATGAGTCGCCATCCATTCCTGATGCCATGTTCTTCTTCATATAGTCCATGTTCTTGGATTATTTGCTCTGCATACAGATTGAATAATTATCAGGAAAGCATACAACCCTGACTCACACTCTTCCTTATTTTTAACCATGTAGTATCCCACCACTCATCTGTCAATTTGTCATAGTGGTGGCTTGCATGTTGCTCTGAAGCTGGAGGCTATGCCCTCGGTATTTCAGATACCATCAGGGTCACTCATGGTGAACAAGTTTCAGTGGAGCTTCCAGACTAAGACAGACAGAAAAAGGAAGAGACCATCTACTTCTTAAAGAATTGGCCAGTGAAAACCTTATGAATAGAAGTGAAACACTGATATAGCACATGCACTATGTAAGTGTATATATATAGACAGGCACTATGCTAGAAGTTGGTAATTTAGAACCAAAAAGAACAGAATCCATGCTCCTAATAAATTTAGGAATACACATGGACAAGAATAACTATGATTCTGTGAGAAATTTTAAATAAAATATGAATTAAGCCCTATAGGACAATACCATCCCAATGGCCATTAAGTTGATTCCCACTTAGTGCGACCCTTTGACAGAGTACAACTGCTTCATAGAGTTTCCAAGGCCATAAATCTTTGCAAAAGTAGACAGCTTCATCTCTCTCCTGAAGAGCAACTGATGGATTTGAACCACCAAGCTTTTCAGTTAGCAGCCAAATGCTTTAATCACTATGCCACCAGAGTTCCTTTATAGGAGCAAAGTTGCATTTTACTAAATTTGAATCCATTGTCGTGATTGTTGCATTGATTCATCTCATTCCCTTATTTTCTGTCACCCTCTATTTAACAAGCATGATTCCATTTTCTAGTTATAGGAGGAAACATTATTTCTCTTTCTGTAGAAAATGACATCATGCTTGGTAAAGAGAAGTCCTGGTGCTGCAGTGGTTAAGCACTTGGCTGCTAACTAAAAGGTAGGTAGTCTGAGCCCCCCAGCCTTTCCATGGGAGAAAGATGAAGCAATCTGCTTCCATAAAGATTTACAGACTTGGAAACTAAGGGGTGGTTTTACCTTGTACTTTTGGGTTGCTATGGGTCATAATCGACAGTAACTGTTTTTGGTGCCATGTCCCAACTATAGTGTAAGTGACTGAGTGAATAAATGTGATATCCCAGTATATTTGGGGAGGCAAGAGAATGATTGTTGCAATACCACGTGGCACCTTAAATACAGCAAGGAGTGAATATTTCTGTGAAGAGATGAAATAGCAGTTGAGTCAGAACTGTAAAAGAAATAATTTCCATTTCCATCAATGTTATAATGAGTTAAATATTATGTTCATTCAGCCTTACAAATTCAAATAAGATGCCAAAAACATCTTGCTGGGCAGTTTTATCTTTACCTCTGCTTTCCAGCTGAATTATTTTTAATCTCTCCAGTTTCTTTAATCTCAAAAATAATCATTTGGACTCCAATTTTTGAGAAGCAGGATGTTGTCATGGAGAAATATTAGATGGGAAACTAGTAGACCAGCATTCTGATTTGATTCAGCCAATCATTAACTTCAATCTTATGGATAAATGGCTTCCCAATCTCACCTCCAGTTTTCTTATATGTAAAATTCTCTGGCTGGATTATTACTTCAGAAAGCTTGTTCTAAATCCCTTTTCCTTTACTTCTCACTATTGAGCAAAAAGGTTAGATTTAGAGTAGACACCTTGTGAGATGTTTACCCAGTATGTAGTGATATTCTCTATTCTTGGTTCTCATCAGCTATATGTGTTTTAAATGGTCTCACTGTCTGGTTGCTGTAGGTTGGGCTAGGATAGACAAATTAAGCCAAATTATACCAGTCACCTGATTTCACCGGGGATTTTACTTTTTGTTTATCTATCTTTGAACTGGTGGGTTTGGTTTTGGTATCTTTGAACTAGAGAAGGTTTAAAACCACTGGTATGGTGGGCAGTTGTGTTTTCTGCTATGCATACTGAGAATGACAAAGGGATAGAGCAAAGTGAAGGTGCAGCAAATACTGCTGTGACAAACAGAGAGTGCTTCTTGGACTTTCGATATTATATCATTTGTCTCACTTAGATCTGATGCATTCTACTGTCAGTTCTAAAAGACTCCGTTATAGATTGCCTTAACAATCAATTACCAGTATTTTACTTAAAATATCTTAAGTGTGTTGTGTCACTTACAGCTAAAGATATCTAACAAATGTGAAGTTAAGAAGCAAAATGACTTAGGGATGGACATTTCTGTGCTGATATAAAAGATTTTCTGCCTGAATTTGCTTGACATACTTGTCGATTGATAGCCAAATGGAGCACAAGATTAGGGTCCTCCATGTATTTATATCAGTTTACAAAGTAAATAAATCCAAAAGCAATGATGAATAAATTAATCCTGGACTTGCTATAACCATTACTCATTAATAAGTTTGTCATGAAGATGTTCCCAAATAACCATAATTTGAATACATTTCCTTACCCTGATGAGAATTAATAGGAGTTTTGGTGGCACTGTGGTTAAAGCGTTGGTCTGCTAACCAAAGGATCGGTGACTTGAACCCACCAGCTGCTCCTTGGGAGAAAGAAGAGGAAGTCTGCTTCCATGAACATTATACCCTTTGACACCCTATAGGGATGGCCATGAGTCAGAATTGACTCGAAGGCAGTGAATTTGGTTTTGGCTTTTGGATAAGAATTAATATAATATTACAAATGCCACTGTAAACATAATTCTTTCTAATCATCTAAGATTTCTTTCTTTCCTTTTCATGTTGATGGTTCATATAGTAATAGTTATGGGTTGAATTATATCACCCCAATTTTTTTGTTGTAAATACTAACCTTTATGCCTATGATTATAATCCCATTTGGGAATAGGTTGTCTTTGTTATGTTAATGAGACAGGATTAATGTAGGACATTTTTTGAGTGAATCTGTTTTGAGATGTAAAAGAGATTAGGACAAGCAAGCAAGTAGAGATGAGGAAAGAGTTATGGCAAGGAGCAGTAGCTCTGAAGAGATGAAGAGACAAAGACTTTCCTCCAAAGCCAACTGAAAGGGAAAGGCTTTTCCAACAGCTTGTACCCTGAATTCAGACTTCTAGCCTCCTAATCTGTGAGACAATAAATTTATGTTTGCTAAAGCCATCCAGTTGTGGTTTTTCTGTCATAGCAGCACTAGATTAGTAAGACATTAACCACGATTAATTAATTTTCATTTGAATCTTATGATTATCTTTTTAAAGCTCCAAGTCAACCACCAGCAAATATAGCCTGGAAACTGACAAACTCTAAGTTATGTTTGAACTGGGAGCATGTAAAAACCATGGAAAATGAGTCTGAAGTGTTGGGCTACAAGGTGAGTAGTTTCTCCTCTAGTCATATCAGTTAGGTTATAAGGAACCAACAATCTTAGAATGTAAAAGAAAATAAACTTTATGCACATGGAAATACTGGAGTCTTTTAAAAATATATTTTCAAAAATATTTAGCATTGTCAATTACACATTCTCAGTTGAAAAATATTTTGTATTCTCAGGCTCAGGAATGTGTGATGGAACTTCAAGAAATAAAACATAAAATGCAGCGATATTTCTTCAAGTGACTCTCTTTGCCATCAAAACTGATGTCATATGTGGATAGTAGCTGTGAGCTAAGAAGAAGGTTAGGGAATGTATTCAAATAGAATTTCTGGAATTTAGGCTGCAGTATCATGTGACATTTTAAGAACATGAAAGGAGCGTAGTCAAATACCCAGAGCAAATCAGTTCTGTCAGTGTTAATGGACATCATCTCTTGGCAGAGCCACATTTTCAGGCATTTGAAATGGGTCCAAACTAAACAGTGACTTTTCACAGCAAGCTCTAAAGATAATAGCCTCAGGCTATTTAATTAATAGAGATAAATCTACTCTAATTTCAGAGGCATTAACCAAAAAGTGAAATCTTTCTCTCAACAAGAACAACTAAATTTAATGAAAAGGCATCACCTAGTATTTCCATCTGAGGATTACAGCTTTTATAATGACATGCCTTAAATGTTCCATGATGTTTTTCAAACCTGACAAAAGCAACCTATCCAATGTTAACTTGATTCACCATTGTATTCAGATTCTGTATCGGCAAAACAGACAAAGTCAAACTCATATTTTGGAAACAAACAATACATCAGCTGAGCTTCTTGTTCCATTTGAAGAAGATTACTTGATTGAAATAAGAACGGTCAGTGATGGTGGGGATGGAAGCAGCAGTGAGGAAATTAGGATTCCAAAAATGTCAAGTAAGTTGACTCACCATTGCTACTGTAAATTGTGAATCTGGACAGATACAACAAGAAATGGGGGTGCCGTGAAACTTTCAAATTCCTTGTTTAAATGTTGAATTAAAAGAATAAAGCATTTGTGTTTCCATTTTCATTTGTGAGTAAGAAGTAATGATCCAATTTTTCTTGATAATAATAGTCCATCTAGTTTGTAACATGTTTGTATATTACAAACAGTTTTGTGTTTTCTCATTTGAATCTAAAACACAAAAAAGCAACTATGTGTCATTAGTACATGATTTCACAGTTCTTTCTATAGCACAAAAATCAAAAGCTTCCCCACTGGTATCCATGTGCCTCCAAGAGAAGGAATGACAAATAAGAAGTACATGTAGATATGTCACATTGCTGGATTCATGGTAGGCATTAGTGATCAATCATGGCATTCATACTGATCTGAGTCACACTTCTAAATCCTTCTAAGTGCAATGTTCTAAATGTTGTGTTGTTGTTATGTGCCGTCAAGTCGACCCCGACTCATAGCGACCCCTCCTTGGGTTTCTGAGGCAGTATCACTACGGAAGTAGGATTGCCCGACCTTCCTTCTGAGGAGTGGCTGGTGGGTTTGAACCGCCAGCCATCTGGTTAGCAGGCAAGTGACTTAGCCACTATGCTACCAGAGCTCCCATGTTCTAAATAGCCAATACCAGTCATTCAGACCTAACACATGATAATAATCTACTATTTCTGCTTTAGATGAATCACCCACTCCTGAATCACTCACACCTGACACTACAGCTAAATCAATGTCATTTGCCACTCCATGATGGTCAAACTCTAATCTGTCTTTTTAGGAAGATTTGGCCAGTGTAGACATTTTTGTTTTACATTTTTACACTTAAAAAAACCATTCTAGAAGAGAAGGTAAAAATACTTTCTAAAATTGAATATAATGTGAATGAAAAAAATGTTAAAACAGTATGTTCTTAGGAGAGAAATGACTATATGCAATTAGGATCTTGAAGAATTAATCTAGCAAGTAAATTTACTCTGTCTCAAGATACTTTTATTTTTATTTTTTACAGGTTTGAGTTCCAGAGGAATCCATGTCTTAGAACCCAGCAGCCATTTCCATTTTCTGTCAATTGCCATTGTGATTTTTTACTGTTTTGCTTTCCATCCACTTATATGCTGAATAAAATCATAAATCTCTGAGGGATTATTTTGAAAACAAACCGTTCTGTAAATAAGTTGTCTAGACCCCAGTCTCAAAATGCATTCTTAATCCACACTTGTTTGAAAAGAAATAAAATGTATATTATTAAAATCTTGTAAATATCTATGGTACGTCAATAAAACAATTTTAAACACTTTTGAATTTTATGGTTCACATAGGATTGCATATATTTGAAAGGTGCCAAATTATCTGTGGAGTTTTAGCTACTATGTCTATTAAGTGACTTATATGGAAGGTAAAGGAGCTCTGATGGTGCAGTGCCTAAGGCATTTGGCTGCTAACCAGAAGGCTGGTGGTTCAAACCCACCAGCCACTCTGTGGAAGGCAGACTGGGTAATCTACTTCTGTAAAATTTACCACCTCAGAAACCCAAATGGGGTTGCTATGAGTCAGACTCAACTCAATGGCAGTGAGTTTGTGGTTTTTTTTTTTTTTTTTTTTTTTTGAATACTGGAGGTATAAATCACTCCCCTTGCTAATGATACAGTTGGCATAGATCCACAGTTACCATAGCTGAGATGTTATGTTTTTACACGCTCTAGGCAATTTACTTCAATGTTAAAAGTTTTACCTTACTTGGTAATAAAATAAAGTTATTTGTTTATATTTTGTATTCTTTTAAAATGTAAGCTATCCCAAAGCACAATGTGTTTTTAATAGCTCTGAATCAAATTGAGACAGGAGATCTTTATACCCCAAAATATATCAATATACATCATGTTCTTTTTAGTTCATTTTTCTAGAAAGTATAGTAATAGAAATAATAATAATATATTTTAGGTAAAAACATAAAAAAGAAAGGAAATGAGCACACACCAAAAATAATCCCCTTATACCTCTGATACTTAAAAATCAGTTGCTCACTACAAAGTTTGTTTTTTTTTTTTTTTTTTTAAACTCAACCTGTAATCTGTTAAGGACACAATTGCATGAACAAATCTCAGGTAATTATGATAAACTGATCCAATGTATGTGGCCTTACTTTTATACAATGAAAAAGTCCATGAACAGAATTCTTTGGCCATATTTTCTAATTTTGGTCAAAATATGTGTTGCAATCGCTTCTGTAGATACAAAAATAATCCTGATTGTCCAGAGCTTGGAAAGATTTTTGTGGCTTGACTCTTCTCTAGGGTGAACTCAGACATCAGTACCAATTTTTTGGGATTGCATCATCTGGGGGGAGCAGTATAGAAGATAGGTTAATGACTGGCCCAAGTGATTCTGTGTAGCCATTCATTCTTGTCACAAACAGCCTTGACAGGTTTTTTCTTGCTGTCGGCAGCTCTAGCTCCCAACGAATCAGGTTTGATGTCCTGGTGAGCTAGGTGTGAGACACATTCACACTAGTTTTGCCTTCTTAACATGATTCAGCATCTTAATTTTATTAAAATATTTGAGCTATCCTCATAATAATTGGATTTTGTCATTTTCATTTCTAAAGAGTTTTAGAGCCATTTAATATACTCAACATTGTCAGCAACAGATGGACAGTTGCTTTCCTTACATAAGAAACTGCTCATTGCCTGGAGAGTGCACCAAGCACACAGTACAAATTAATGAGCCTTTTTCTCCCCAAAGCTTTAAGATCTGGCACAGTTTTATGGAGTAAAACAAATAAGCAATAGCAAATACTGTTTGGCACACTTATGTTAACAACTGCCTGTTCAAAATACATCTATATTGTACAGAGATACCAATGCTGGCATATGGTCTTAATGATTTTCTCAACTTGCAAGAGACAAGAATTTTGTTCTCTTCCCAAAAAGTAGTGAGTGAGAGTTAAATATGTCATGAATTTTTGTTTTTGCTTGTTTTCTCCAATATAGTGAATTAGCTACATGATCATGTTGTTTATGCTTCCCAAAGCTAAGTCAGTTCCTCCAGTAATCCATATGTTTGTAGAATGCTCTTTAGTTCATCATTGCTTCAGTATTAAAAGTATGTATTATTAAAAATTTGATGTTATTTTTATTTTCATTTACATAGATAAATTCATACTAAATATTTAGGGATATAATGTGATATGAGTGTTCTGCAGCATGTGATTTGGTTAGCAATGGGTTTGCCTTACTCCTCAACTTAGTGTAGGCCTTGGATACATCTTTGGCATCCCTGTGTAGCACATATGGTTAAGCACTCAGATACTAACTTGAAATTGGTGGTTTGAATCCATCCAGAGGCACCACAGAAGAAAGCCCTGGTGACCTACTTCTAAAAGGTCACAACTATTGAAAACACTACTGTACAGAGTGCAATTCTACTCTGACAAATACAATATAACAGTGAGTCAGAATTGACTTATCAGCAACTGGTGCTAGTATCACAGTTATAATGATTAAAAGGCATAAAGCATTTATCATGGTACATAGAGCAATGTAAGTCATTAATAAATGGGGCCATCATCATTGCTGCTATGAATTAAATTCCCAGTGAAATAAGTTACTATACTTCTTTAAGTATCTAATACACTATGGAAACAGATTCAGCCTGTGATTCTGTTAAAAAAAAAACCAAAAAACAAAAAACAAAAAAACCTCTAAATAAAAAAAATTATACTGTATCTTTTTAAAAATAAGAGAAATGACACTAAAGAATGGAACCATTAACACATTTCAGGAAAATATTCTGTATGATATATACTATCCTTTGACATTCAGGAAAGATTTCCAGTGGATACTTTTATTAACTGATTGGATTGCAATTAAAATCACATTAACTCATTTCCATATGTCTTAAAGAAAGAGAAAAGAGTCTGATTGTGCCTAGAAAAAGTCAGAGAAGGAAAAAAAAATGGTAAGGAGATGTGACATGGGGAAAATAAGATCTTTGTACAATAAAAAACTATGAGCCACCCAATTAAAGATAGCTTCAAACTCAACTCCATTTTCTTTCTTCCTCTAGCCATTATGCTATAGTTCTTCCAACTCAGTGCCTTTTCTGTAACTGCACCCTTTAAAGGAGGGCATGCCTGCTATCTTAGCAGCAATTGTAAATAGTATGGGATGACCTGATACTTATTTGGATTCCAAATTCAATACTATAATCATTAACTTTCACATGCTAATCCTACTTCCGTAGTGATACTGCCTCGGAAACACAAGGAGGGGTCGCTATGAGTTGGGGCCGACTCGACGGCACATAACAACAGCAACAATGCTAATCTATTTTTTTAAAGCCTACTTATACTATCAGTCTATACCCATGGATATCGATCAGTCTCTGAGTTGTACATATTGTTAATGTGCTTGACTGCTAACTAAAATTTTTGGGGTTTGAATTCACCCAAAGGTGACTTGGAAGTAAGGCCTGGTGATCAATTTCCAAAAAAAAAAAAAAAAAACCCTAAGGAGCACAGTTTTACTGTGACACACATAGGGTCACGATGAGCCAGAATGAAATTGATGGCAACTGGTAACCCCAAAAGGAGCTCTGGTGGTGTAATGGATAAGGCATTTGGCTGCTAAGCAGAAGATCAACATTTCAAACCAATCAGCTGCTCCATGGAAAGAAGATGGGGTGATCTATTTCTAAGAAGATTCACAGCCTCAGAAACCCAGTGGGAGTCACTATGAGTCAGATTTGACTAGATGACGTGAGTTTGGCTTTTCATTTTTGGTAACACCAAGTGGGGATGTTAGTTCATACACTCCACCTGCACCATACTTAGCACTGTATATGCTATTTGTTGTTGTTGTTGTTATATGCCATCGAGTTGGTCCCTATAGAACTATAAATTTAATTTAGCAATTTGATAATCTCAGCCCTATTAAACTCAGGACTATTTTGATGATTTTAAATAATTCAATTTTAATACTATCAGCTTTAAAGTGAAATTACTTAAATACTGTTCTCAGTTTCTTCATAAAATCAGATATCAGAGTTATAATAATATCTTTAAGTATTTTTAAGACTCTGTACTTTTATATTAAGCTGTATAGTGTGCCAGAGTTTCATTATCATTCACAACTCACACACTCTTTGCAGTTTTCCCAATTTCTTCTGTTTTTGTGAGCCTAAAGTACCCACCAGCCACTCCTTGGAAGGAAGGTTGGACAATCTACTTCTGTAGTGATACCACCTAGGAAACGCAAGGAGGGGTCATTATGAGTCAAGTCTGACTTGACGGCATATAAGAATGACAACAACAACAAAGTATTGTGCTGAGCTTTCTTTACTGGAGTTTACATTACTAAAGTGATAGGTAAATTTAGTTTTTTTGTTTGTTTGCTTTTTTTTTTTTCTTAATTACAAGGACCCTCAGAAATTTTGACCCACATTCACATCCCGCTGAAAATCACTAGTGTATACAAGAAGTCATTCCCTGAGTGGTACAAAGAGTTAATGTAGTCAGATGTTAACTGAATGGTTGGAGGTTTGAGTGCACTCTGACATTCCTCAAAAGAAAAGTCTGGCAATCCACTTCTGGGCAAACCAGCCACTGAAAACCCTATGGAGTGTGGTTCTGCTCTGACACACATGGGGTAGACATCTGTTGGAATCCACTTGTCAGCAACTGTTTGATTCTACTATTGTGGTTTCCAAGGGCAAGACTGTGATAAAGTTTTCAGTGATCAGTGAAACAATGAAAGATATTCAGATACTGCACTGAGGTTTTCACAATGAATAATTTATGAACTACTTGGGAGATTATGCCTTTCTTTGCTTTTGTAGTGAAAGTCCACTCTTTCTTGAAACACAGGTGAGAATGAATGATGGACTGTTTTGTATGTTTTGTTTTAAAATATTCTTACTTGGCAAAAGAGTCAGTTACTTTATGTCAATCAGTTCAATTATTTCTACTATTTAAAACATTTTTCTTCTGGGTAAATCAGAAGACTGAAAACCTCTGGTGTATAAATCACCATTCTTTTGTACTTAACTTCTTTCATTCCAGTAACCAACAATATAATAAATTTGGCCTTAATTCTGTTAATCAGAAGTCTGTGTGCCAAGTCCTTA